GCATGAGAACTACGGTTTCTGAAATAGTGCCGTACGACGGGGCGAGAAAATGGCTACATTGGGTGCATTGCGACTCAATCACAATATTTGAAAACAAAAAAACAAAAAAAAAAAAGAACGGAAAAGAGAAAAACAAACATGCTTTTCAGTGCGAATTTGTGCTGCAGAGCAGTTGCAGTAGTGCACCTCCTCCTCTCCCTCGTCCTCTTCTCGCCAGTCTGCTCTTTGTCCTAGCTGAGGGAGGCGAAGCGTTCCTCCCATGATCCTACCTGAAAACAGTGCACTCAGCTCCATATGTTCACTTGGAGGAACAGCGGTGTATTGAAAATAGGGTTAGTCTCACATCCGACCCGACTTCCCTCCCATATCGGAAAAGTTTGACCGCTGCAGCGATGCCGTTATTCGGGGGTTTTAGGGAACCGGTTTTGGACGTCTGATACGGCACGATGGATTGGCTGGGATAACTTGTAGCGTTTCCCTGCGGTTCAAGGTGAAATGCTGTGCAGATGGGGAGGGACGTCAGCCGGAGACGCGTTTGTCTCTCGCAGGCTGCGGGACCGCAAGGCCGGGTGACAGCCGATTGACTTAGGTGGGTGAGGCGTGTACAACGAGGCCGATATGCTTTCACGTTGCGCACGATGATTTGGGCCGCACTGCGTACCGTCGTCATTTTACATGCTGGTGTTGCGCTCACTCTGGAAGTTCTAACCCACCGAAGTGTGACACAGCCTTTCGAATTAGGAACGCAGTTACGTGGCTTGCAAATTTTGGCGCTCACGAAGCAAAACGTGCAGCTTTTCGTTTCGCATTTCATGTGTTTTGGCGGTGTTCGGGAAATGGCTCTCCGCCCCGCGAATCGATCGCGTGGTCGTCGGCTTGTTTACGACCGCTAGGGACCGCCCAGAACACTGCCGAGTCTGCGCCGAGTCTGCGAAGTGACGACGACACGAACGCGAAATGGATTTCGGCGGCCGACCCGGTAGCCCGGTTCGAGAGTGCCCGACTGAGGCGCCGTCTAGCAGGCCCTCGGCAAAAGTGGTCCTCTGTTATTATTATTTATTTTTTTCGCGAACGTTTGGATCAATACGTCGTCTGCTGGCGCATCGTCTGCCAGCTCTGTTTGTTTACGACGCCGGTTTTCTATGTGTGGTTTTTGCTTTCGGTTGTGTTTTTGTTTCGGTGGACGCGCTCTGCCTGGCTCTGAATGAACGATGGGGCTTCAGGTTGTCATGGGCACTTAGTTGTTCCATCGGTTCTATCGCTTTCTTATTTTTACTGAAGAAATATATAGACTCACGTGCGCTGCAGCGAAACGATCTGAAATAAATGTAAGGCAACTTCTTGTGATAAAAAATGAAAAAGGAAAAGTTGCTTTTCAGTGCGTAAAAATGATCCATTCGCTTGTATACCGGTTCGTCTGCTTAATTGCGGGCGCCACTTTTTTTGCTACTTTCTGACCACGTTTGTGTAAAGATGTATAATTCCTGCTAAATTTTCATTATCTCAACTGTATAGATCAGGGTTCTCTAAACATTTTGGCTAAGGGGCCTGATTGGGGACCTGTCTCTACCTCGAGGGCCGGAAAATAGATACCATATAAATAAGCAAATACCAAATAAATAAGCCTGGATAAGTATTTAAATACAAAAATTTAAACTAAAGCAATAACTAAAAAAAAGTAAAGTGGATGAATATGTATAGTTTTCTTTATGCAGTATGTTGCTGATTATGAGATCACGAAATGGTTGGGACCCAGATATCAAAGCGCGTAGGGGCTTATTCACGCGCGGCAGGAGACTATCAATAATGGTGGATCTGAGCAAGACACTAAGCACGACCTACATGAAAACACAAAGGAATTTTGTCATGGTTGGTAACGCAGGCATGGAGCAACTACGCGAGTAGTGCAAAATAAATAGGGTGGCGAGAGAACCCGCATTTTTACGAGAGAACCCGCATTTTGATGCAGCTTTAATAATAATAATAATAGCTTTATTTACCATATAAATATGGTGTGAGCTGAGGAAAAAAGCTGTCTAAGCAGCTTGACTAGTCCTCATCCTCAGCGGTTGCAGAAGCACACACAAGAAATTAAATAAACGAGAAAAAAAAATCAATAAAGGCAAAAAGCAAACAGAGAACACCTACGAGGAAATCATAATTACTTTGACAGAAAAACATTTCCTAATATCAAAGCAAATAGCTTCATGCTCTCATGCTTTCTGATATTTTTGTTTGCGCATTTAATGCGCGTCGCGGCGTCATTTATTTTTACGCGCGTTTATTTTTGAGTTTGTAGCAGCGGGTTGGCGGGCCGTGCGTCACTCGAAAGACCCCGGCCATCTATCTGCGGGCCGGCCGGAACGCCTCCGCGGGCTGGATCTGGCCTGGAAACTGGGGTTTGGAGACCATTTTCTTTTTTTTTAAAGCGGAGCTGTTAAGGGTTAGTTTCCCCAAAATCGTGTCCCCCGCAAAAAAAAAAAAAATAAAAAAAAAATAAATAAATAAATGAAGACACCTGATTTCTGGACACCTACCGCCATCTATGAGCGACGGCGGCAGGCCAGGTATCTGTTTGCCGCCGTCGTTCATAGATGGCGGCAGCCTTTCCACGTACCTGGCTTGCCGACTTGCGGCCGGCCATTACTTTCCATTGTACAGCTCCGCTGGTCTTTCTTTTTCACCAGAGTGGAAAGGCTGAAAGTTTTTGGCAAACATAAATGTAACTTAATAAAATATAAAATTTTCGCTGAATTTTTTTTTCTAGCCTTGACAGTAAGTCCTTCCATGTTGAGCATGTTTGTATTGCTATGTGTGATTCCTGCTACAGCTCGTTATATCTCACATATATGAACTAATAGAACAGATTGCTTTTAACAAATAATAACGTAACCTCATAAGAGATGATTGTTTTAGCGAATAATAACATAGCCTCATCAGAAAGAGATGAAATTTTGCTGAAGTCTGGGTCTAGCCCTTATAGCAAAACCTCTATGTGGCAAGTGGTAGCATGTTTTGGTTTCTCAACCTTCAGTGGACATTCAGTGTGGCACTAATGATTCCATCACACATACTTGAATTGTTATTCCATTACTTCAATTTAATTAGATTTAGTTAATTGCTTTTAATTGTCATTGGTCACTTTCTACTAAAATAGATGGAACTGTAATTTAATTACTTTGACTAAAAGTGGTGAGTACAAATTTAATTAGTTTTGGTGAAAAGCAACTGGAGTTGTAATTTAATTAATTTTTGTGTCAGCAATAGAAACCTGCACTTCAAACAGAGCCACTTTTGCATTGATTTTGAAATGAAATAGCTTATTCCTTAGAGCTACTGAAAGTGGAGGAATCACATTGCATCTTCCTTATTTGCTCTTATTGAACTTTACTTTCTGAGTTGTTTTGATAGAGAACACTGAGAACGGTAAAACATTTGACTGAATCCTTTAACAGGGAGGAATAGTCTCTCCAGGAGCAAGGAATGGACAAATGTTTTTTTTTTGTGTGTGTATAAAAGATACTAATAAATGTCACAGAATTTCAAAAGTAATTGTGACTAATTCCATAACTTTCTAAACTAGATGCACAATTGTTTAATTGTTATTTCTGCAGTAGTAAGTTTGATAGTAATTAACTACTTTGGGGCCATTTACTTGCAATTGTATGTGCAATAATCAGAAAAAAAATTAAAAGTTGCAATTGTAATAGATCTTATGCGAAATTGCTTGGTCTGACAAAACTGAGAGTGTTGCCATTTTAATGTTGGCAAGCGTCGTCGGTACCAAAGCACGGTGGAGGCACCGGAAACAATCGCACGGGCAGTGTGCGATGGCATGGCAGCTGTGTTTTCTGCCTTATGACCAGGTAATGTGGACGAACAGTTTAAACAACCTACCGCAACTGTCTGACGAAACTCTCGGAAGCCTGTGCAGGCAGTCACGCCATTGCACACTGCCCATACAGTTGTCTCCGATGCCTCCACCGTGTTGCGATCAGTACCGACGACGTTTGCCAGCAGTGAAATGGCACCACTCTCAGTGCTGTGAGACCACCAAGCAATTTCGCATAGTCTATTGCAATTCTAATTTTTAAGCTTACATTGTATTTTGGAAATATTTTTTTGTACACATTTAGTTCTTTTTTTTTATGCTGCAGCTGTCATTGTATGGGGCTAAGGGCTTGTCAAGCCTCTACTGGGAGCTTTTCCCTTCGTAATATTAATATTATATAATCTGAATAATAATAATTATTATTAGTAGTAATTGTATTTGAAAAGTCGTTAAACCAACCATTCCTTCACACTGCTGCTCAACTCAGAACTACCTATGCATGCTAAAAAGCTTCCTTAGAATGCATGCTGGTGGATTGAAAAGTGCTTAGCATACAAGCTTTCACTTTTTTGTATATCTGTGCATACCATACCACGAGGTAGACATATTTATTAAAAAAAAGCCCCCAAAGAGTGTAATGCAAAAGTGCAATGCATAAGGGTAACATGCTAAATTTAGTGGGAAGCATTTCCCTGCCAAATCTTTAGGACACCTCAACTGTTCCGTTGAGTTCTGCTGAATTTAGTAAAATTTAGCGCAACTATCAAGCTGAGAGAAGCTTGTAAATAAACGCCCAGTGCAGCTCGATACACGGTGCACATTCCGTTTCTCCCGAGTGTATTCATAGTACAGTTGAACCTCAATTTAACGAAACCCGATTTTACGAGTTTCTTGATTTAACGAACAAATTCGGATTCCCCGCGCAGCCTATCCCGAAGAATGTCTTTCTCGACTTTACGAAGTTCCCGATTTAACGAAGTAATTAGGGGGTCCTGGTGACTTCGCTAACTCGAGTTTCAACTGTATTAAGATCCATGTAAATTTTCTATTACCTTGAACTTGAGAGACGACTCACGGGAGTGTCTGTGGTTTCTTAGTGCTTAATAATGGTGCTGTGCTGTACATACGGTGTTTTTGATGCCACGCTCCTCTCTCACTCTTCTCACAGGACCTGGTGGACCATCACGGGTAATTTCGGAAACATCTTGCCTATCGATTGGTCAAAGTCCTACGCCAGGAAACTGCAACTCCCAGCGCTGAATCTCAATGAGCGAGCGGTGAGCCTCAAGTTCCACCATCCTGTGGCCACGTTGCTTCATTTCCGATTAGGTTATTTTCAGTTCGTGAAATTAGTTGTAAAGTTTTAACAATTAACATCTTCTGCGCACTGTGTTGTCGGATTCTCGTCTTTTTGTCCTTGTTTTTGAGCGCTAAAATGTATTCCAACATCTCCTGAGCAGGTCTCGTTAACTGCCCTTTTAAGTTTTTTAAGAATTTATCTTTGGATTTGTCAAAGTGGAAAGAGCATTATGCAGGTCACAGCAAAGTCCTTTTCGTAACTTTGGTTTTGTTACAGTGCCTTCTGCAAGTTAGCTTGCAGATATCTTTTCTGAGTCTACTACGGAAAGAGCTTTCAAAACTGGTTGTCGTAGTATTGTAATTAAACATTTACAACATGCCTGATGAAACATACCTCATTAAATTTTCTTAAAGATAATTCTTTTTTTTTTATATGAAAGAGTCATCATATTTGTGGCTGATCTCAGGGTCAATTTTGTGTTCTCCAAGTTGTGTTTGCAGATGGTCAAGGAACTAAAAATAACTGTGTGCATTTTTATATTTCACATACCCTATGCTTGCATAACAGCTGCAGTTTCACTGCTAAAATATTTGTGAAGCCGTTGCATGAATCTATGCATATTTTATTTTATTTTGAAGAGGTCCTTCTCCTTTCCATGGTTACACTTGCTTAGAGCACCTGGGGGAAGCAGCAGCTTTTGCTGAAAAGGAAGCACTGATTCAACAGTTCATCTTTCCTCCTTGAGGGTGTTCCTTGAATATTTCAACAGTGATACTGGCTGTGGCACCTCTTTCATGTTTTCCTGATGCTTTTCCTTCGGGTCTTTGCCACAGCTCGAATATCTCCATCTTATACGGTGCTTTGGAGCCACAGAGCCAACAATGGAAACATTGGGATCAAACATTTGCATTATCAGACCAAGACAGATGGGGCTATTCACGTCTTTAGCTCGATGCTTGCCCTCCCGCGACGGAAACGGGAAGCGCTCTAGTGAGGGTCCCCCGATTCTCCTGCCCAGCGGGCATGGCGGAACTGCTTGCGATCATGGCTCGCGAAATGTCATTTCCGAATGCAAACAACACTCTTCACTGTCCTAACGTAGTGCTGCAGCCAGTATGGGATTGTACCTTACTGGAGAGTTTTAGTATTGCGCATAGAAGCAAACGCAAGCGGTGTGCATTTGCGTTAGAGTTGCGTGCCCCACGTTGTGCATGCGCCTCATCGCCGTGCGCCATCCAAGACCGCAATTTCGGGCTCCGCGCACGCGTAGTGTGGAACGCACAAAGCTAACGCAAACACACAGGGCTTGAGTTCGCTCGTATACGCAATGTTAAAACTCACTACTGTTTCACCGGTTTCCAACACCAACGAAACGGGCTGCAGTGAGCAGACGTGCAAGCAGGTAGGCGTTCCTTCGAACTGGAAAGGCTGAGATTGGCAAAACGACGGCGAGCAAATACAAAAGTAAATAAATGTTATGAAAAAACTGGTAATTAAAAAATAGTTTTTTTTTTAACTTCTGGGCATTTGGTCTGGAAGTATATTGGCGGCGACTTTGGACGTTTTGCCGATTGTCAAAAGTCGCGACTTTGGTAGTACAATATTTTTTACCTACAATTAATGTAATTTTACATGGATTTCACACATTAGCTAGAATGTTTTCATTGATTTTAGACTATTTTTATTTTACTTGTAATTAAAATGCAGCAATTGGAACCAGTGATGATAATTAGCACAGTTTTCATTGTCATATTTCTTCGCGCGTTTAAAATTAGATCATAAGCAGCAAATTATAGTAGAGCTTGAAGAATTACATATTCAAATATGTGAATTTTAATATTATTATTATTAATACAAGTCGCGGCAATGTATGCCTCTAATTAATGCCAAGATCACGAGAATACTCTATTTAACCATAATAGTCTATCCAGAAAGGTATAATTCTGTTTTCTTCTTAGCATATGAAAAACTCTGACATAGTTATCAAGATAGACAAACAGTTAAAGGCTGGATGTAAAATGAAGTCCTACGCGTCACGCGGTGCTATAAAAACACACAGACTCTTCAGCTGTCAGACTCGGATTCCGTCTTGGGTTGTTGCAGTGAGAGCAGCGTTTATTAGTTTATGCGTTTCGTGGACATATTGTAAAAATTGGAATTATTCTCTTTTATTCTTGTGCTGGGATAATTGTCATTATTTCCCATGACAATTATCTGAGTGAGAAAAAGGCTCCGAGAACTCACAGATATCAGCACTGCTTTTGTCAACAACTACGAATATCAGCTTGGATCGAACAGTATGTCACAAAATAAAGTTTCTGCGAACAACTTTTCTAAGTAAATAATTACGATGTGAGACACATCTTGAGTCATGAAAGAATCCGAAATTAAGACCTCTGTCGAGAAATTAAATCCAAAATAGAGGTAAGTTTCGGCTTCGCTCCAGAATTAAAACGCGCATCCTTCCGTAATTAATACGCTAAACACTGTTCTTGTTTTCAGGTTAAAGAGGTGACCTGCGCTCATAAAACATTAGCTTCCTCGTATTACCAGAAATAATTTATGTCACTCAGTGAAGCCAGCACACTAGACAGGCTCAACAGTGGCACGCATCTCTGACCCTCACTAAACCCGCCATCTTGGAAAATGAGTGGTGCCACCTATAGTTAGTTGGAGTCGCGAATTAGTGGGCTACACTATAAGTTCCAGTATACTGGTTCCTGATTAGTTTAGACTCACACTATCACTGTATTTGAAGCCCACATAATGACTGTATTGAACCATGTTTAAAAGCGCTAAAAACACATACACAAGATAGACGATAAACACGGGCGCTACTCGCAACTGTATTGGGAAGGAGGATGGAAGTACATATATATATATATATATCACAAGAGCATGAACCCGTTTACATATATTTATCGAAAAAACGAATCTCAGCATTATACAGTAAAAGCTCGATAATTCACACTTCATTAATTCGAAATTACCGATAATTCGAATCAGCCGCCATGGTCCGGCCACGCTGCATTGAGTTCTATGTGTAAATATTCCTCTAATTGGTTGGCAAATTTGTTCCGCCACCGATAATTCGAACCAAGCGCCACCGTGCGGAGGTATAGTAAACCGCAGTGAAGAGCTTTCCAAGCCAAGCGATAGATGGCGCGTCCGGCGCAGCGGCCGACCTAGCAACCCAGCTCGCCGGGCTGTCCTTGAGCTAGCATCTCCGTCGTCTCCGGCTAGGCCTTTCCGCCTCGCTTATTTTGTTTTTTTGCCGTTTCGCGATGTCGACGTCGGTTCGCGGAAAGTACCGCGCCAAAACACTGAAGGAAAAAGTTGAAATTCTTCGGGAGGTCGACGCCAAGAATGCAAGCAAGCAAGATATCGCAAAGAAGTTCGGAATTCCTCGAAGCACGTTGTCTACGTACATCCGGAATAAGAAGGCTATCGTGGATGCCTACGAGGTCGAAGCCTTCAGTGGCGACCGCAAAAGACTTCGCCCTGCCAAGTACCCGGATTTAGAGAAAGCTTTGGTGACTTGGATCAAAGATATGAGAAGTTTGAACCTTCCGCTAAGCGGCTCCGTCATAATGGCGAAGGCAGCCGACTTTGCACTGCGCTTGGAACACGACGACTTCGCCGCCTCCGAAGGGTGGTTTCACCGTTTTCGCGAGAGGCACGACCTTGTTTTTCGTGCAGTGTCTGGGGAAGGGCAAGATACCAACATGGAAACGTGCGCAACGTGGAAGAGTGGAGCGCTGCAAGACTACCTGCGCAGCTACTCGCCGTGTGACATTTTTAATGGGGACGAGACTGCCTTGTTTTTCAAACTCCTGCCAAACAAGACCATCACCTACAAGGGGGATAACTGCGCTGGCGGTAAGCGAAGCAAGGAACGCGTAACTGTCATGCTTGCAGCCAACATGACGGGGACGGAGAAGCTGCCTCTCTTTGTGATAGGCAAATCGGCAAAGCCTCGCTGCTTTAAAAACATACGCTCTCTGCCCACCGACTATGCGGCAAACAAGAAGGCTTGGATGACCGGCGCGTTGTTTGAGCAGTGGCTCAGAAAGCTAGACAAAAAGTTTGAGCTGCGCAATCGGCAAGTCTTGCTCCTTGTCGATAACTGTTCGGCCCACAATGTGGACATTGAGCTGAAGGCCATTCAGTTAGCTTTCCTACCACCCAACACGACCAGCATGCTGCAGCCCATGGACCAGGGCGTGATTAAAAACATGAAGACATTTTATAGACGCCACTTGCTCGAGCGCATGATTTTGTGCTCGGGAAACGAGAGCCCCTACAACATCACGCTCCTTACTGCGATGCACATGCTTGTGCATGCCTGGGATCAGGTGACAGCGGCAACGATCGCAAACTGCTTCCGTCACTGCGGTTTCGATATTGCAAGCTCAGAGGCGACAGCCGATTCGACGGCCACGGCCGATTCCGGACAGGACGGGGAAGACATTCCGGCGAGTGTACGCCAGGCGCTGCAAGACGTCGATTTCACGGATTACGTCGATGCAGACAAAAGCGCGATGGTGTGTGGTGCCTTGACTGACGAGGAGATAATCGCGCATGTCAGGGGCGGAGAACCCGCCATGGAGGATGATGATGGTGAAGAAGAAAACGAAGAAGCGCCTGTGCGTCCATGCGCGTCGGAAGTCATGGAGGCTCTCGACGTTGTCCGTCGCTTCTTTAGCTTTGAAGAAGACGGAGAAGATGCTTTCCGCCACGTTCAAGCTCTTGAAGGAAAAGTTATGACAGCTGTTTTCTTTAAAAAAAAGCAGAAAAAGATAAGCGACTTCTTTGCTCAATAAAGATGGCGGCCCCGAGCGGTTATGCGGCCTCTAGATTCCAAACGTGACCGCAATTCTTTGACTTTCGTTAGTTCGAATTTCTTTTAATTCGAATTTGTTTTGCGTCCCCGTGAAATTCGAATTAACGAGCTTTTACTGTACAATGCTATTGACGTGACGCTGACGCACTGGAGTCCCCTCTTCTTGATAAAATATGCCTCTTGCAGTTTGCGTGCTCTTTGAATTCTGCTTCTACAGAGAATCTTGGTATCGCCGAAGCGTGGCTCACATTCGCAGGCCCTACAGTGCGCGGGCAAATGTGCCCCGTCATTTGTCTTTATTTTTTGTGTGTACTCTCTTAAACGGTCATTCGTGCATCTTCTCGTTTGTCCAACGTAAGATTTTCCATGCGTTAGGGGGATTTCATACACGACCCCTGTGAGGCGTTCGATGTACGGCCTGGCGTGCTTCGTGCCACACCCTCGCTCGTTCCTGCTTTCTTTAGCAATTCGAGGGCAAAGCTGGCCGAGTTTCTTTGGCGCTGAAAACATGAGAGGTACTATGTACCTTGTAGGGTTCTCGTCCGATTCCCCGGGCCCCTGTCCCCGGATGAACGTGACACAGCAAACGCATAGCTCTCGGCAGAAGGGGTTTATTCCACTCACATTCTGCTGGGGGTTTCGGGATCGGGAGAAGTGATCGAGGAGGCCTGGAAGAGGTGCGCCGCCACTGTATGCTGCATGCCGATCGTCCGTGCGGTGCTAGTCCACACCGCATCCCGTGGACGTCGCCGTCGAGGGTCAAATCCGGGGTCTAAGTCCGGACCATGTCACTGGGCCGTCGCCGAGCCGGCGGCGCGGTCGCCACCAGCGCGAACGTCCGTCGTGGCCCGTTTCCCGCGCAAGAGTCCCCTTTGCCAATTTCCCGTCGTCCGTCGTCCCAACTTCCCCCGCCGTTCCCGCCGTCACCGCGTACCAGACCGGCCGGAGCCTCTTCTTTCCCATCTTGGGCGGTCTCTCGCTGGAGCTCCCCGTCTGGCTCTGCCGTAGCACGTGCAGGGCCTCGGGCGCCGACGCTGTCCGGGAGGGGGGGTCCTGGATGTCCACCGCCAACGCCGCCAACGTCTTCCAGATGGGTCCCTTTTCTATTTGCCGTCGTCCGAGCTTCCCCCGTTCCCGCCGTCGCCACGCACCAGACCGGCAGGGGCCGCTTGTCTCCCATCGTGGGCGGTCTCTCCCTCGAGCTCCCCGTCTGGCTCTGCCGCGGCTCGAGCAGGGCCCCGGGCGCCGACGCGGTCCGGGAGGGGGGTCCTATGATGTCCACCGCCGACACCGCCAATGTCTTCAAGATGGGTCCCGAGAGAGGAGGCGCTCGGGAACCAAACCTCAAAGGCGCCGTCCTTGCCACGGAGGGGACCGAAAACGAGTCTCCAGGCGCCGGCGTCCGGTTGTCGACGAGAGGGGGGCTGACAAGACCCCACACCATCCCCCCCCTCAAACCAAGGCCCGGGGGTCATGAAGGTCAGAAGTGGAGGTTGCGGAGATGACCCAAATACCGCACGGGAGCTCAGCTGAGTGTCGCCGATAATGGCGATCACCCTTCATGATCGCGGCGAGGGTGCCAAACGAGGCAAGCCCGCGGGGACAGTTCATTCGCCGGGAAGCTCGACCAGGCAGCGTACAGTCCAGAAGCGGGCACAGAGCACCACCGCTCACAGCACGCACCGGCACTAAGTCGCACACAATACACCAAAATTGAAAGTCCCTTCCACCCCAGTGTTCCAGACAGAAAAACAAACGCTAACCAATCGCGGCACTGAATATTGTACATGCGTGACGAAACTAAATCTTCAGCTCAGTGGGCATGCCACAAGATAGAAACGCAGCTCTCTGTTCTAAAACTATTAAGCATACACTCATCAAGGTCGTCACGCTACGTGTTTAAAAGACGTACCCCAAAAGATAAAACTTATCGTCAGCTCAGGAAGCATACAACAACACTAAACTATTGTCGAAATGTTTATAGTTATTAGACAACCATTGTTTTTATACAAAACAACCCAATAGCTTTCTACTTAAATGTTACATAATCTAAGAGCGCTAGAGAATCACTTCTCCGACAACAGAATTCACTTTCCACACAACTAAGATCACTTGTGATGAAAACACAAAACATCAATACAAAAGATAACCTTCTTCACGTCACAAGCAGCTACAAATCCTGCACCATTCGCGAGGTGCGATACACAATAACCATACGAACAAAACCTGCCGCTGACAGTACCAATTAACATTACGCATATTCACGTAGACATCGTTCGCGACTCTTACGCGACAAGCAAGCCACTACTACGGTACGCGGCATGCCGTCATCGGGTTGGATAGCCGCCACCCAGAGAGGCATGTGCCCCGCGGTACCGGCCATTGAGGCCAGCACAAGGGGACAACATTTTGATATGCCGGATGGTGCGCCCAGCAGTAGCAAGTCTATTGGACGTCCTTCTTACAAGGCCGTGTGCCAGAGGTTGCCGCGTCACTGTTCGGGGATAATCTCCAAACAAGAGCGATGAGCGTGCAACGGGGGTACACACCGAAGTGTAGTGGAGTGACCACCATGGAGTCCTGGCCCTGCACAAGCTCGAGAGTTTTGATCAACGCATTGATGCACATTCAAGTTCTTCCCCGGCCAAGCCACAACACCGCATGACTGAAAAGTCTTCTTGCGACTGTCAAGGTCGGCCAGGATCGAGCAATGGAGGTACCTCATCTACGCGTCTCGCAACTCTTCTATTCTCAATCCAAGCAACGAGTCCTTGGATGAACGCAGCAGGGTAGGCACAAAGCCCACCCCAGACCAAGTCAAAGCACCGCATAACTCAAAAGTCTTCTTGCGACTGAAAAGACTGGCCAGGTTCGAACAATGTGAGCACCCCGCACGCGCCTTTTCTCTTCCGCGCTACAAGCGCGACAGCAAAGTGTCATATAATCTAAACGGCCGATCTTGGAAATGGACGAGTTAATAAACTATGTTTGCTTCGCATAAACCGTTTCCGCAGCGTCGAAGTGTTTACCGCATTTACCGCTGGCTTCCAATACCCGCTGGTCATTCATGCAAAAGCTGCAGTTTGTACAGCGACGGGCTGACCTAACGCACAACAGTTATAGGCCGCCGACGTCCATGCCGCTGCCATAATTTCTAGGCTTCCCGGGCACCCGCCGACGTGAACCGTACGTTTTTCCGGGCCTCCCGTGCAGCTGTACAGGATAAAACTATCAACAACTCGTCTCATTATCGCAAGACCGCCACCTCCTTCGTGAGGCTCTTCACTACACGAGAACGGCTCTTTCCCCACCTAACCGTCTTTCCCTCTTTTACTCTAACACGTTATCCCTCCGCACGCCCTCGCGTCCCAACGCGTTCCAAACACGGCGAAGAACCTGTACCATGCCCAGCGGCAACGCAGGGCACGCACTTTTCCGACCCCTCTCCGGGCATGGGGACAACAACTCGAGAGTAATCTCCGCCCGAAGCGCAAACTCCGATATGGCGGTGTGAGGGTCCGGCAAAAACTGCACGCAATTAAGCGGGATCACCCTCACGACTCTACAGCCAGGGACGAACGGAACGTGACAATCGCGTCAACCTGGACCCCACGGAGCATTACACACAGCCACTGATAAGGTGGGCACGGAAACTCGGTGGCTCTCGGAATTCCGATGCATTCACACCAGGCATCGCGTATCCGGCAACACTTGGGAGGATTAGTCCCAAGGTATCACCTCTGGCCGCAAGGTACTGCATCAGTGCGGTCGGAGCCACAAGAGCACATATTGTACCCAAACGCTGTGGACGCACGGTACTCAAAACCGCGCCGACAGCACAAAACAAGGCCAGCTGAGAGCGAGCGTGCAGTAAAACTCAAGCGCTAGGCTCCCCTCGGACAAAATGCAGTTCGGGAATAATTTCTCGATGCAGTCCGTGCAACCGCCGTCCGCAATGCAAGTAGTATTGAGATACTCCCACAGCGAACCCTCTCTGACGCGAGCAGTCGAAAACAGTCAATCCAAGGCACTGCAACGACACGCGAACAAAGGCGGCTGCGCGCGTCCCATCGCCTAATAAATGAGCTGACATCTCACCCATCGGACGTGGACGGCCGGAGGGGCAGTTGGGGCGACGGAACACCCGACACTGCAGGCCTCAAAAAGGGCGGGAATATCCACGCACAATGAACACCTGCGCGGCATCAAGAGGCTGGAGAATAAACCTGCCAGCATCCGACGGCACAGATAAACAGTGGATTAAGGCGCTCCTCGCCACAGGGGATAAACTCCTGGTTGATTGGGACAAAGGATTGTCTGCAAAGACAACGTCTAAGTCCGCGCTTCCTCATCAAGCAAACGATCATGTCGGATCTCGTGCGGCGTTGCTACAACGAGGATCGCCCCCAAAAGGAGTGCGGAAGCAATGCCCCCATCCAACCGGAAACAGGCCAGGAATCGGAACTCTAGCCGGAATGTAAATCAGGCCCCACGTTGGGCGCCAATTATGTAGGGTTCTCGTCCGATTCCCCGGGCCCCTGTCCCCGGATGAACGTGACACAGCAAACGCATAGCTCTCGGCAGAAGGGGTTTATTCCACTCACATTCTGCTGGGGGTTTCGGGATCGGGAGAAGTGATCGAGGAGGCCTGGAAGAGGTGCGCCGCCACTGTATGCTGCATGCCGATCGTCCGTGCGGTGCTAGTCCACACCGCATCCCGTGGACGTCGCCGTCGAGGGTCAAATCCGGGGTCTAAGTCCGGACCATGTCACTGGGCCGTCGCCGAGCCGGCGGCGCGGTCGCCACCAGCGCGAACGTCCGTCGTGGCCCGTTTCCCGCGCAAGAGTCCCCTTTGCCAATTTCCCGTCGTCCGTCGTCCCAACTTCCCCCGCCGTTCCCGCCGTCACCGCGTACCAGACCGGCCGGAGCCTCTTCTTTCCCATCTTGGGCGGTCTCTCGCTGGAGCTCCCCGTCTGGCTCTGCCGTAGCACGTGCAGGGCCTCGGGCGCCGACGCTGTCCGGGAGGGGGGGTCCTGGATGTCCACCGCCAACGCCGCCAACGTCTTCCAGATGGGTCCCTTTTCTATTTGCCGTCGTCCGAGCTTCCCCCGTTCCCGCCGTCGCCACGCACCAGACCGGCAGGGGCCGCTTGTCTCCCATCGTGGGCGGTCTCTCCCTCGAGCTCCCCGTCTGGCTCTGCCGCGGCACGAGCAGGGCCCCGGGCGCCGACGCGGTCCGGGAGGGGGGTCCTATGATGTCCACCGCCGACACCGCCAATGTCTTCAAGATGGGTCCCGAGAGAGGAGGCGCTCGGGAACCAAACCTCAAAGGCGCCGTCCTTGCCACGGAGGGGACCGAAAACGAGTCTCCAGGCGCCGGCGTCCGGTTGTCGACGAGAGGGGGGCTGACAAGACCCCACAACCTGTTTGCAACCTTCTTGAGGTTGTGCGCCATTTTGTGTACATATGGTACAGCCTCTGGCCTCATATTGCTCAGTGCCAACTGCATCACTTTCCTGGTTGTTTGACCGTTTGCTTTCTGTAGGGTAGCCTCTGGCACACTCCTCCACCCTACAGAGGCCACCCTACAGAAAGTAAAAGGTCACACAACCAAGAAAGTGACGCAGTTGGCACTGAGCAATATGAGGCCGGAGGTTGTACCATATGTACACAAAATGGCGCAAAACCTCAGGAAGGTTGCGAACAGGTACATAGTACCTCTCGTGTTTTCAGTGCCAAAGAAACTTGAACAGCTTTGCCCTCGAATTGCTAAAGAAAGCAGGAATGAGCGAGGATGTGGCACGAAGCACGCCAGGCCGTACATCGAATGTGTCACAGGGGTCGTGTATGAAATCCCCCTAACGTGTGGAAAATCCTATGTTGGACAAATGGGAAGGTGCGTGAATGACCGTTTAAGAGAGCACACACAAAAGTTTTAGACAAATGACGGGGCACATTTGCCCGCGCACTATAGGGCCTGCAAATGCGAGCCACACTTTGGCGATAACAAGATTCTCGGTAGAAGCGGAATTCAAAGAGCATGTGAACTGCAAGAGGCATTTTTCATCAAGAAGAAGGGACCTCAGTGCGTCAGGGACACGTCAATAGCATTGTATAATGCTGAGATTCGTTTTTTCGATAAATATATGTAAACGGGTTTATGCTCTTGTGTATCTCGCGCATGTGTAGCCTGGGTGACGATAAGTATATCAGATATATATATATATGTACTTCCATCTTCCTTTCCCAATGCAGTTGTGAGTAGCGTTCGTGTTTGTCTTCTATCTTGTGTACTTCTTTTTAGAGCTTTTAACCATGGTTTAATACAGTCAACACCAACTAGCCTAACAACAAGTTCTTTTACCCACATAATGAATGTCTTTCTAATAACAGTTTGTGCTCTACTATGTGGTTCTTTTGTTTTAGAGCGCAGCTCTTGGGGGCCTGTTTCCGGCTTGAGCGGCGTCGGCGTCGCCGTCGGCGTAACCGCGAGGTCACGTGACCCCCCGAGGTCACGTGACCCACCTAGGTCACGTGACACCCCTAGGTCACGTGACCCCCTCAGGTCACGTGACCCCCGGAGGTCACGTGACCCCCTGAAGTCACGTGACCCCCTTGAGGTCACGTGACCTCAAGGAGTCACCTATCCCTCAGTACGCTTCCATCTTCCTCCTCAAGAGCTGCACTCTAACCGGCGTTACAAGGAATTGTAAACGGCTTTCATTTTTTTAGCATAGTGAGAAGAGGGGCACTAAGAATGTCCCAAAGCATAAATCAGTTCAGCTGCAGCTAGATTACGAAAACGGTTCCAGTGTGATCCAGCTGGAACTATAGACTTAGTCCAACTGGATTCAGCTGAGACCATTTACATTATGTAGTTCCAGCTGGATTGAGTCTCAACTGGGTTGAAAGACCTTGGTCGGGACACCTCTGGCTCTGGCAGGGCTGGATGTTCTGGCATCTAGGAGCCCTGCCTTCTTTTTTCTTGAGGCCCCTCCTGTTATGTTAGTAAGCTTATGACCTCTCCCTTGTTGTCCCGCCCGCTTCTTCGGTCCCTCGCAGAAGTCGGAGAGGCTGGACGACCCCGAGGGTTCGGATGAGGAGGACCTTGCCAAGGACCTTGACCTGCATGCCCTCATCCTGTCCAGCCTCCAGCAGGAGCCCATCTTCACCGCAGAACAGGTCCTCGAAGAGATTGACGAGATTATGCAGGTGTGCTCTCCTCAACCTCGGCACAACCACCTTTCTGGAGACTGTGTTCACTCCGTTTGGTGTTTGAATGGAAAATGGATGAGTCAGTTTGGCCTTGGGGTTCCCAATCAGGTTTGCACAGATACATCCCAGGCGAAAATCAGTCCACTTCCAGCTGGATTATGGAACTGGAAATGAGGCAGTCCAGCTGGATTCCAGCTGGACCCGACTGGACCCAGCTGGACTGCCTCATTTCCAGTTTCATAATCCAGCTGGAAATGGACCGATTTTCGCCTGGGATTACTCTATGTAATGCTGCGCACAAATTTATTATGATATCCAGATTATAGACAACTTGTTTAGCTTTCCTGATGTCACTGATTACTGATGGGCTGAAGTATTCAGAATCAACATAAAATAATACATGATCTAAGCATTCACATCCCTGACCAATCCCGTCATTGGATAAGTGCCAAATGCTCTTGGCAGCATAGAGAACAACATTAGGGCCTGTTGTGAAGATCATCAAAAGCCAATACAAATTTCTACTGCACAGTATCCAAAATGCCTTTACTGAAAAATCTGTTTATCACAAGCATTTAAAAAAGATGCAATTGAAACAAGCGGTGTTCTCTAATGTACACTATGACAGCAGAAGAAAAACTATTTTTTATTTAGTTAGTTTTGTAAAATATTTCGTCCTGAAGCAATGCCAGCCGCAGATAAAGAAGTTTTGTTAATTGTCAGCGGAACTGCTGCTTTCAGAAAAATTTTAATTTTATGTATGGTTTATGTGGATTTATGATATTCTTTGGGTTTTATATATAGTGCACTTTGATGGCTATACATAGTTGAATTTTTTTTTGTATATATATTAAGCATTTCTTACTTCATGCATGAGAGAACATATTGTACAAATTCATATGGCTGTTTCTGCTCTTTAGAAATTGTCATAAGTAAAAATGCATCTGGAGCATCATCAGTTGAATTCACTGGAGCATCCTCATAAAATCAGTAAAAGCACCAATCATGGTAGCCAAGCAATACCAAGATTTAAGCTAGAGAAGAAATACTAAGATAAAAACTAAAGTCACATTGTCAGTATTGAACTTCCACTCACTATTTCTTTCTTTAATCCTTCAACTAATATTTAGGATAAATTCATCAATGTTTCATTTTGTATCTCCCACATTCTGTCCCTTCTTCTCTTTTTTTGTTCTCTTGCCCATTCCCACATATTCCCTCTCCCTGATCTTGTTCTCTCTTTTCCTTCCCAACCAAAGTTCTTTGGAACTGAGTTCTGCGGGTGTGAAATCTTAAAGAGGGCACTAAAGTGGATTTGGGGATTGGCTTTTTATGATGCCAACTCAACTTATGTACCCTAAGCATCTTAAGAAACCCAAAATTACAATCATGTGTGAACTTTATCCCTAATAAAAAGGCATCCAAACATCCCAATACACCCTTTTTTCTGAGGTATATATCACAAAAAGGAGCGTGCCACAATGTTTGATCGCTTTTCAGTGAAGAAAGAAAAGCCAGGCATGATTTAATTTTTGGGTATTTTGAGATGCTTGGGGCACGTAGATTCAGTTTATGCCATGAAAAGACCAACTCAATATCAATTTTAGTGCCCCTTTAAAGGGAGGTGCTTTTACAGCGGAGCTGTTAAGGGCTAGTTTCCCCAGGATCGTGTCCATCCTCAAATGACTTGATAACACAAAACTCTGGACAGCTACCGTTATCTATAAATGATTGCGGCAACCTTTCGAGCCTCTCGACTCTCGCTTGCCGACTTACGGCTGGCCATTATTTCATTTCCACCATAGTACAGCTTTGCTGGGCTTCCTTCTTCACCAGAGTGAAAGGCTGAAAATTTTTTGTAGAAGCTTGTTTTTGATGGCATATTGTTCGTTGGGCTTTAGTCGGTAAAAATGACCAGTTTTAGATGGTAAGATGTCTTAGTAAATTCACAGCACTATTTCCTCTTGGTTAAGGGGGGAGGGGAGGGGGAAGGGGGGGAGCATCCTTGGTTCCCACCGCCCTCATAAAATTTGGCCGATGAAAATAGTTAATTGCATGGAGATTCCAAACATTACTATTATCACTATTTATAGGCGCGCATGTGCACTATATATATATATATAGTATATATATATATATATATGTGTGTCAAACCTTTGGGTGTACGAGAAGTAATACAGCATATATTGTTGGAAAACGCCGCCTGGCGTTTTCCCCTTGGTGTCTCCTCCAAGGTACAGAAAGAAGGGCATGTCACAATCTTCGATTAGATTTTTAATAGTAAAATTTGTATCTCATGAGTGTAATTTTTTTTTAGGATGCTTAGAGCCTATAGATGGAGTTATCACCCTAAATCAAGGGTCTCAAACACGTGGCCCGCGGGCTGCATGCGGCCTGCAACTTGCTGGGACGCGGCCCGCAGGAAACCGGCTATGAGTCCCGGTCCCAATCTCTCAAGCGCTAAAAGTGGCATGCGCCATTGTGATCTCATCCCGCCGATTCATTTTCCTTCAAAAATTAGCCCTACTCTTTTAACGTATTCACATAGATTATATTTATCTTTGTTCATACGCCCTTTGTTTCGCATAATATTTTGCTTCCCAGCTTTTTGTAATGTACAACAATTCCACTACTAGACTGCAAGCTCAAGCTATTCGTTGAAGGACGCATTTCGGCTGCGGGAACTCTCGATCAGCAGGGGTAACTGGCAAAGATAAAGCTACGAGCTCGGGATTCTCGCCTTCAAAATATATGATTATTAAAAGACAAGTATTTGTTTGAGTGTTGTAGTAAAAATCGCCAGGAAAACAACAACTATCATATTAACTCTTTGTTTTTCGAGACATGTTGAGCTTGGTTGATTCCTGGGTGAATTGAGTAACAGGAACAACAGTGCTGTTTCTATTAGAAATGCCAGCATGTTGGTGGAGCGGTGTCATTTTTATTCTTATCACATCAGGTCAAGGCCCAAAGTAGTCTTATAAACAAATCAAATCTAAAGATGTCACTGGCAAGCTTGAGTTTACAAAAAACATAAAAACACAAAACCTCCCCCGCGCGTCTTACGTTGGCCCTCGACCTTTCAGGTGTCGGATATCTGGCCCCCACACTCAAATGAGTTTGAGACCACTGCCCGAAATAGATGATCTAAGAATCCACTCAAGTGCCCCTTTAAGCTGAATGCTTATGCAGTCTTGGTTTAAGCTGCAACTATTGAGTGACGACCGAGAGATACACTCTAAGGCGAGAAATAGAACTAGCGTAGAAAGACCATACGGACGAGGGTGTTTCATCATTGCGGCTTGGTGAACCCTTTTCCATGTTCCTGGATGCACATCAGTCACTCGCACACCTCTGTGTTTGTTGGGACTCGTTTAATGCAGCCTTTCTTTTCTCAACAGAAGATCAGGAGCCATACATTTTAATTTGGGTTTCCCAATCTTAGGTGCACTATTGCTCTTAAAAATTTGAGGACCTTAATGATGTCTCAGCTTGACCTTGAAAGTCGTCTTCAAGAGAATTGGATTCTTTCTTTAAACTTTTCTGGGAACGCTCGCCAGCCGAGCAGAGAGGAGCACAGAATTGCCTTTGCCGTTTCCTCCACACAACACGTCGGCCGTTCTCTCCTTCCAGGAGAACGTGCCTGCAGAAGAAGTCCCCTCGGCGGACTCGTCCCCCGAGAAGGCAGACGACGACGCCATCACCAAGAACGCCATCTCTTCCCTTGTCTACGGAGAAAGTGAGTGATATCGCGCGGAATGTTGTTGAAAACGGGACGCCTTTAAAATGAAGTCAGAACCACCTATTGGCGCCTCCAGCGAAATCGACGCTGCGTAGCGGCAACACCAAGAAGCTTAAGTGAGGAGGTTCTTTCGGCTCTGTCGTCTGCAATCGCTGCTTGGTTCTCGTAGGCAGTATAGAAACAAACATTGTTTCCAGTAATTATTTTTCTGCTTCTGCCGTGTCATTCTTACGCACTGACTAGAAGAAGGTTTCTACCGTCTTAAAATCACTTTGCTTTTATATGTAACACCCATTTTACGCTGCACTGCAAGAAATTGATGGTGGTCTGCGTGCTGAACGACGAAAACGACCTCCTTTCGTCCGCCGTTGTGCCTGACCAGCGCGCGCCCCCTATAGTTTGCTGGAGTCACCAGTAGCCTCTTCGTTTCTTCACAAACGATCTTAGCGGGCACTGCGGCAGTTTCTGGCATTTGGGAAAGGAATGAGGAAAGGTTAACCGAGCATGTGTGGTGGTCATACGAACATTTCTTAGATGGCAAGGTCATGAGTGTGGGGAGTAATAATTGATCATGTGTACTGCATCAGTGTTTTGCTAGGGCTCATAGTCATTCATCGAGAATTCAAGTCTTAGTCAAACACTGACGCGTCCAATCTACACACCACATTGCCCTCTGGCAGGTGGCATAAAAAATCCGGCGCTATGACCTTGCTTTATAGGAGCTGATGGGTCATGCTCCTACCTGGCACTGAGCCGCAGGGTGCCCAAACCACGGGCACGCGGTTTTCGACCGAAAATTCTTTGGACAACAGACTTTTTCTCCGAAGACGCTGCTCGGGCATTGTTGCGTCATACGGAGCTCATAGTTTTGGTTGGCCTTCTAGGTGCAGAGCTGCATAATCTCCCCTGTAAAACTAGGAACTCGTGGTTTCTCGTTACGAGACTTGGGCCAGCGTGCCTTTTTACCGAGGAGATCCATTTTTAAAGGTGCCGTTTGGTTATTGAGGCTTGTGCCGATTGGGCAGTTGTGTCCAGAAATGAAGCAGCAAATTGCCAAAATATGGCTTGCTTTGATCCCACAAAGTCTTTGTGAATGTACCATTTTTATAAACATTGAGGTGATGTGCTCTCTGACGTCTTCTATGCATTTGCTTAAACGGTTTCGAAAGCACGGGGAAAAGACGTCTTGCGTTTTGTGGGACTGAGCTTTGCAAGTCATTCCAGACAGAATGGGTGTAGAAGGGGCCCTGGTTTTCTCGCTGACAACCTTTAGTTTTGGAAAGTTGAGCCGACGTTTGGTTTAAATTAACAAAAGGTGTGGAAGTGTACACAAAAAGATGGCACACCGCGAAGTATTCTGGGAGACCTAGCTGAGCGAAGTTCTGAAACGTGCAGTTTGTGCACTGTTGTATAGATGCCTTTCAGCAGCTGTGAACAAGCGCCGCCATAACTGACCTGCCATTTGTATCTCCTTTCATTCCTTTCGATTCACTTCATATTACTGTGATTGGGTGACAGGTTACCATTAAGGGGGAAGCTGGACTTTATCTTTTTTTTTTTTACTTAATTTATCGTGCTGAAATTTAATGTACTGATGTATTTCTTAGTGGTGATATCAACGATGCAATTAGTTTTCAGATAGCTTTACAGATCCTGAGTCATCAGTATATTTGTAATTTTAATTAGATCCTTTTTACGGGCTGTTAGCGTAAAATTTTTCAGAATATATCAGAAATTTTTACCACCTAGACATCTTTTGTGTGGTGATGCTACTTTAAGCCTGATTTGGTGATATTACATTGGTAAAAGACATTTGCAATCAAGTTGCACAAAACGGGAGGCTGTATATCTTTTTAAGACTAATTATTAAAATTATTGCCTGGCATATAAAGCAACAAAAATGGCATCACTGCACAAATCATGTCTTGGTAAATGCAATGAACTTCTTCCAAAACCGACGCGCCCCATCGCGGCGAAATACCATGCAGTGCACTCTGGGAACTAGTTGGCCACTCAGTTTCGGTTTCGATTGAGCAGCTTCATCGTATGCTATCATGCCGCGACCGAACGTACTGCTTGCGTTTTCAAATATCTGACTTTTCACAGATGTACAATACACTCATTCTCGATCGAGCGATACAAAACGAAGCCCGGAGCACTTTCCTTGGTTCCCGAAACACCGGATATTGTGCGTGCGTATGCAAACATAGTAAGTCGTGGCTTAGTCACCTCACTCCACGAGTGCATGTTTGAGCTCAATTTCAATAATCCCGTCTAGTACCAGTGAACTAGAACTGAAATTTGTTCATCTGGAGCCTTACACATATTTTGTTTGCCAAACGTCTGCTTCTTGTTACTTCATTGGGCGAAAAGCAAGCCGCATCCTCACAGGGTATCAAAGTTGAGCGCAGCGTTTACGCATAAACTTTTAAGGAAACGCAATAAATTCGACCTCACTACTGCACAAAAGTTACTATGATGTCTTTCTCGTGTCATCATGTATCCCCTACTCAAATTTTATGCTGATATAATATTAAGTTTTCGCAAACGCTGAGATCGGCTAACTACGACGGAGGCCCTAACAAGCGTCCCCTACTCCTGACTAAGCCTATTTGAACGAGCTTTTATTGATGCCCAAGATCCGTGTCTGAAGGGTATGTTGGAAATTATCTTGCCATACTCAGGCAGGAAGAAAGCAGACACATAACAACTATTATGGACATCAGCAACCGTCAAAAGCGCTTTGAATTCGTTCGTTTGGCGCACCGCATAGGGGTCCATGGCCGTCCGGCGCACTTCTGGCAAACGGTACGACATTCTTCACACAAGTGCTCGACCTTTGCTTTGTTAAAACGGTCTGTATGTGCAAATTTGCCTATATGATTGCAGGATAACTTTATGCGCATACGCGATGTTGAATATAAGTGGAATGCAAGCGGGTGGGGACTTAACTTCGTGCAGTGCTGCGGGTCAGTACAGATAAGAGATAAGAAGTGTGTTAAAATTAAGCTTTTCAATGGCGCCTCCGAGTTTTACCTCGCATACTCAGGCATATTAAGAAAAACAGTAATTGCAAAAAGTAATATTTCATCTATGGACGCACGAAACAAACTTCCTGATCAAGAACACTAATGTAAAGGCGCGAGCCCGATGCATGCATACTTATTGGTTGCTACAGCTTGTTGACTCGTACACAAGCAAAATACCCGAGCTTTGCAGCCTCGATATTCCCAGCACTGGCTCGTCCACATACCTCAATCGGAATGCTAACGGGAAGGCTCAAGTACAAAAATACAACTAGCTTGTGTTAAGACAAGCTATTCGCAACTCCAACGCCCTATAGGTGGCAGGGCGGTAGTTCCAAGATGGCGGAAGAGACAGGGATAGATTCTCCAGGATATCCCGCGCGCCTGCTCGCACTGACGCTCTTCAGCGCGCTAAAAATTATTTATTGGTCTACAAATGCGAAGCGGTTATAAAGGGATCATATTACAGGTGACGTAGATGCTGATGCACGTTAGGAAAACGAGCATGCTGTTATTTAAAAGTTGCAGAAACCTCAAATTGCGAAGCTTTGGGGTGAGCGAGTGCGTTTTAGGCACCGGCCACGTTACTGTTTGTGGCAGAATATTTTTTAGTGCGATGAAGATATGTTTGCGGCTTTGCCTGGCCATTAGTTCTCTAAAAAAAGAGCCGAGAACGCTGACCGTCAAGCTTCGGAAGAGCAGCGTTCACAGTATTGGTGTCTTCGCGTCACAGGCTCAAGGGGTGTCCAAACAGGACACTACAAAAGGCACGACTCCGACAAATCGTGAAAATGGAAGCGGACGCGCCCGCTTCATTTTTCACGATTTGTCGAAGTCGTGCGTTTTGGACTGTCCTGTTTAGACACCCCTTTACAACTCGCTGCTCGCCGTCTCGGTGTTAGTGTATTGCAACACGTAATCAAACTGCTCTATAGTTATTGATAGAAAGTTTTTTTTACCGCAGGCTACCGTGCGGTGTAGCATTACAACCGCAAGCTCGCTCTGTGCCTTTGAAGTACAATTTTCAGTGCGCGCCAGGAGCATTGCCGTGCTCATCATTCTAAAAAAAAAAAAAAATACTGTAGTCCTTACACTTTTTGGCACATACAGTAAAAGCTCGTTAATTCGAATTTCACGGGGACGCAAAACAAATTCGAATTAAAAGAAATTCGAACTAACGAAAGTCAAAGAATTGCGGTCACGTTTGGAATCTAGAGGCCGCATAACCGCTCGGGGCCGCCATCTTTATTGAGCAAAGAAGTCGCTTATCTTTTTCTGCTTTTTTTTAAAGAAAACAGCTGTCATAACTTTTCCTTCAAGAGCTTGAACGTGGCGGAAAGCATCTTCTCCGTCTTCTTCAAAGCTAAAGAAGCGACGGACAACGTCGAGAGCCTCCATGACTTCCGACGCGCATGGACGCACAGGCGCTTCTTCGTTTTCTTCTTCACCATCATCATCCTCCATGGCGGGTTCTCCGCCCCTGACATGCGCGATTATCTCCTCGTCAGTCAAGGCACCACACACCATCGCGCTTTTGTCTGCATCGACGTAATCCGTGAAATCGACGTCTTGCAGCGCCTGGCGTACACTCGCCGGAATGTCTTCCCCGTCCTGTCCGGAATCGGCCGTGGCCGTCGAATCGGCTGTCGCCTCTGAGCTTGCAATATCGAAACCGCAGTGACGGAAGCAGTTTGCGATCGTTGCCGCTGTCACCTGATCCCAGGCATGCACAAGCATGTGCATCGCAGTAAGGAGCGTGATGTTGTAGGGGCTCTCGTTTCCCGAGCACAAAATCATGCGCTCGAGCAAGTGGCGTCTATAAAATGTCTTCATGTTTTTAATCACGCCCTGGTCCATGGGCTGCAGCATGCTGGTCGTGTTGGGTGGTAGGAAAGCTAACTGAATGGCCTTCAGCTCAATGTCCACATTGTGGGCCGAACAGTTATCGACAAGGAGCAAGACTTGCCGATT